AGTAGAATTAGTTTGTGGTTCAACCTATTTGCCAGGTGATCCTTTTCTATACCAAGCCATAGCGAATAATCCATCTAAACAGTCCTGGATGACTCCTGAAAACAATGCAAACATATTTGAGCTACCATGAAGTAACTCACTTTTTTGGTTTGTTTTTTATTTAACTGTCACAGAATGAGAATTGTCCCAGCTTACTTTATCAGCATAGGGAACACGCAATATTTGTTGAAATAAATCCAGGTCAGACTATGTCTCCACTGGTGGGATACACAGATTAAAAAAGACACATTCCACCCTGGAGGAATTCACAAGTTGACCAAAAAAAAAAATCAGAAGCTTAAAAAAATGGGGATTATTTGGTTTAAGTAAAGAGCTATAGGAGCCCATTAATAAAGGGTAAGATAGATTTTTAGGGAAGGATTCTGAGAAAAGGTAACATCCTTCAAGACCCAGGAGACAAAAGCTAGGAGAAGAGGGTGCTCCAGGCAGCATGTATGAGGTCTCAGTGAGTGAGAGACGGAATGTATTAATGGAACTCTGTACTCTGGCTTGGATCAAGCACACAGATGCTAAAGGAGTGGGTAATAAATTAGGTGTGGAAAAGCAGATTGAGGTTGGGTTATTGAAGGCATCCTAAATCATACAAGAGAGTTTGTATGATTTAAAAAATCCAATTTTTAAAGCTACATCTTGCCTATAGAATTGGGTTTTCTAAAGGCTGTTCCTGGACATGCTAATTCTATAGGATATTAATAGGGGTTAAACCAGAACACTTATTCAGTTTTTAGTCGAAGGTGGGGAGGTTTGGATTGGAGCACCTGTGAGAAATGACATTCATAAAAAATGGCCTGAAATGTGTTGTCCACCTCTTAGATAATGTTAAGCCAAATTAAGCTGCATACCCAAACCCAGTAGTTCTGCCTCTCTCACAAATGGATTTTACCATCTGTCCTTCAGTAAGATGAGATTGTCCTGCATTAAGAGTTGTAATAAGAAATGGTTTGCAATATTTGCTCATGCTTCATCACAGTATCTGGTTTTTCTTTATCTTAAAAGCAATTGTGAGTTGTTCTAATTGATTGTATTCCTTTGTTTGTCAAACATTAGAAAGCCTAGAGCCAAATTTTTGTCTCTCACTGAAAGGATGGTCCTTCAGGGATCTATTTTAGGGTAATTATTGAACTCAGGATTTTGACTTCCTGTATCTGTATTCCCTTTGCTATAGGCCTTCATCTGCTTACTTGATCTAGTTGCAAGCATTTTGCAACCCTTACCTGATTTATTTTTTTGAAGATTTTATTTATATTTATGTAGAGTACTGGGGTATAGACCAGAGGTGTGGAGGGGTGGTGAGGATTCACCAGAGACAGAGTGGGGAGCTGAACAGATTTACTAAGATACACTGCTGAGGGGAGCAGCGGGAGAGTCAGGAGAGGTCTGCTGTGCCATATGGGTCAGTTCCCTGGCTGGGGATTGAACTCCGGTCACAGTGGTGACAGTGCTGAAACTTAACCCCTATGTCACCAGGTAGGGCCCCTTATCTGATTCTTTTTTTGGGAAAACTGAAATGGAGAGATAATGAATGTATATCATAACAGTAGCTGGCCTGGCATAGAGTGCACCCAAATAAGGTCTTCCTGTTGTTTGTGGTTTTCATAAACTCCTCCAACTCTATTGCAGTCTCCCATATTGACAGGAATGGAAAGGCAGCCTATGTCTGTGACAGAAATGATTTTAGAATTGTATTTTCATGGTCTCAGGTCCTATTAACCACATGATTAAATGGACAAGAATTGCAAGTCCCTGAGCCTTGGGCATAAATGGAGCTTCTAATGTGATCAGGGAGATGCTACTACTATGGGCCTCATCTATTACATGGGGATGGTACCGCAGCCTAGTTTATGGAATCATTGTAAGAATTGAGTTTATATAGGTAAAGTGCCAAGAACAGTGCCTGGCGCACACAAGAACTCCAGAATTATTGCTGTAAGTTATCTTTGTATGTGGGCACCACCCCTAGACTGAACAGTCACCTGGGACTCTACTTAGACAAGGCAGGGGGGAGTCACTTCATCCAGGAAGGCTCCTTGGGAAGGTGGGATTGGAACAGGGCCTTGAAGGATAGTGACAATTCAATGAGGCAGAGAGCAGCAGGGGAGATTGATCCCTTGTGGAACTCAATGAAAAAAGGCAGAGAAGAAGGGTATATCCCATCAGGAAGAAGACCCAGGAGAGCAGAGAACTGGTGAAGGGGGCTAGTGGGTGGCAAGGTTGGCAAAGGTTCCTGTTCTCTTGCATCCTTGTAGCACAAGGGTCAGTACCAACCTCCCACCTCACAGGCTCTCCAAGCAGCCCTGAAAGAAAACCCAGTACAGCACCATGCTGACATGCTGAGCTCGCCTCTGAATCCTTTCTCCACCTCCACCATAGAGCCAACAGGAAAAGCACTTCCGGGAGTGATAATTACAGGGAACTACAGAAACCCTGTCCATTTCCCCACTAAATTCCTACACACAGACTCAAGCAACAAAACCAAAAAACAAAACCCCAGGATTCTATTTTCAGGCAGTAGAGTATATGCACAGAAAAGTGCAGGAAACGTGAAATGAGAAGGTGGCAGCAGAATTCCCATCTGTGCAGACACTGAAAGGCCTTTATTAGAGAACGTGAGCGAGAAACTGGTGAGTTCCTGCAGTGAAGGCTGGAAGGGCTCCAGTGTCAGGCTGCAGAAGGCAACAGCCAAAATAACTGTAGCAAGTTCAGAGACAAGGTTTCCCAAGCTCCTTTTCCACAGTCATCTGTTTGTTTACAGAGAAGATAGTGTAGTTTTAAAAAGGCCCATCGTCTGGTATTGCTAGAACCCTTAAAATTTGGAGAGAAAATTTGCACCAGCTCCTTGGTTTGGATAAGTAAGCACACTCCTTGTCCTAAAGAAGAAAACCAATTTTAAACTACAGCAGTGAAATGTGAATCAGTTAAGTGTATGGGAGGTTTGATTGATGTGATGTGTGCAGGCCAGTAGCTTTATATCCATTGTGATGAAGCCTTAAAAACAGGAGGATAAAGATATCAAGCAAAGAATGAAATTCCAATTACAGTTATTTATATATATACTCTGGTTTACTCCAAAATTATTTGAGCTAGCCAAAATTCAAGTTAAGAAGTCAAACTTTCCGGTAACACTTTTGAGCATCACTATCTTTTTTTTTTTTTTTTTTTTTTTGTGGGACCCTTGCCAGTGGCTGGGGGCAGCCTCGCAGCCCAGCGCTCAACCAGTGCAGGCCCTGAGCATGACAATTCTTAAAGGCTAGCTCTAGATAAGGAGAGATTTTTTTAAACAAATTTTTTTTCCCTGCCTCCTAAATGTCCCAGATGACACTTCTGGGGGAAGGGGAGAGAACACTCCTCAAGCTAGAAATTCACCTGAGCCAAACCTGGCCTGACCATTTCTGTCATTGTTCCTTTAAAACCACAGAGGAACATCTTTCACAAAGGGAGCTTTTCTAAATTAAAAGTTTTATTAAAGTGTAAGGTTCAAATAAATGCACAGATCACATACAGCTGGATGCATTTTTACAATATGAAAATGTCCACAGAGTCAGCACCAAGATCAGAAAACAGAACCCACAGGCCCCCTGTCAGTTATCCTGGACCTAGGAATTATTCTCAATCACATCTGGTATCTGGCTGACTTTTGCCTGCTTTTGAGCTTATATAAATGGGATTACACATCATTTACTCTTTTGGGTCTGGCTTCCTTCACTCAACATGTTTCTGAGATTCATTTATAATATTTTCATTATTGTATAGAATTTATTTAAAAATGCCATGATTCACTTACCATTTTGTGGTTCACAGATATTTGGGTTATTTTCCTTTTGGTACTTATCCAAATAATGCTGCTGTGAACATTTGTGTACATATCTGCATATGTAGGGGTTATACCATGAAAAGAATTGCTGGATTCATATTTGAGCATTTGCTAGTCTCTGGAAATTGTGAAAGTAAGTAGGCACTGGAATGAAACCACTGAAAAACCCTGCTAGCAAGACCCTCCCAATCCAGGAAGGAAGGAGATGGCCTGGCAGAGACTCTTAGATGCTGGTGGGTGTCATTTGTGAGAGTACCTTGGGTTGGATGGAGGGACAGGGGAGGTGGAAGTGAAGGAATTAGAGTGGAGAAAGGCTTCCTAGTGGTAATGATACTCAAATTAATTTCTGAAGACTGGGGCCCTTGACAGTGGGGAACAAAGTGGAAAAGGCAGAGGGAACAGCAGGTAGAAAACAGAGAGGGTGGCCAAGTGTGAAACCATGTGGCAGAGCAATAAAGGGGAGACACACATTTCCTGAATGTGATGGGAAGCTGCAGAAGACTCAGGGCCAAGGAGTGACAAGGTCAGTTCATTCAAGTAGCTCTGGAGACAGGACTGGAGAAGAGCCTAGAAGCTGGAAAGTGACTACAGTGTGTGCTCCCCTGGAATGAGGGAAGGGGACGTGGTATGTTAGCAGATGGAAAGTAGGTGATTCTTTGAAGAAAGTCTGGCTTTGACCCAATATCCAGGCCAAGAATCTGGATGGCTTCTCAGGGAATACAGAGTGTATGTGTGGGGAGGGGGCAGGGAGGACTTGCATGTGGGGTGCCAAGTTTCACTGTGCAGAAGTCACACACTGTAATTCATGCAGAAAGCTTTTGGGGCCAGCGGGCCACCTGCTGACATCCAGACTGGTGTAGGCAAGGAGCCCTCCGCTTGAGAGCGGAAAGGCAAAGCATATGTGTGAGGGGTTCAAGCCAAAAAGCAAATGGAGTACAACATGGGTCTGGAGAAGGGGTGCCAAGATCTCACTGCTCTCCTTCCCCTTTAGTGACAGAGATGGAATGCTCAGTGGAGACAAATTCGAATCCCACCCAGTTTCCTATTACACTCATGAGAGGATTCTGGAAAAGTCTGTTTTCCCTGATTGAAATCATAAATTCTGTAATAGCAGTTTGTATAAACTTACCTAGTGTGGTGGCCTGATTGGAGCCCAAAACTTGGTGTTAGGATTCAGTATGAATACTTCATCCAGCAGAGTGGTATATAAAATAAGATGGAAAGATGTTAATTACTTTGTTTAATATCCAGTTATTTCTTCTATGTATAAAATTGGTGCTACATTTGAAAGTGTGAAATGCCACAAAAGTTGGTAATATTTGCCTCATATTCCATTGGCCAAATAAAACTATTTTTCTTTTAATTTTATATTTTTTACATCATTTTTCATTTTTGCACAATGTATGCATTTTCATCATGGTTATAGTCCCCATACAATTCCCATCCCCCTTGTTTTGATCCTACTCCCTCCGCACCCCCCATATTGTGTCTCTGGTTTATAGTTGCTTGTTATTGCAGCAACATGGATGGAGCTGGAAGGGATTATGCTCAGCGAAAATAAGCCAGAAAGAAAAAGAAAAATACTGGATGGTCTCACTCATAGCAAGAATTTAGAAAACCTAAATAGAAGACTAGGAAAAAGACTAATTATAATAAAGTAAAAATCAAAATCAGGGCCTCCCCGGTGGTACAGTGGTTGAGCGCTGGGCTGCAAAGCTGCCTACAGCCTCTGCAGCACCGGTTTGATCCCTGGCCGCCGGCGAGGGTCCCACATGGCACGCAGACCTCTCCTGTGGTGCCTGCTGCTCCCCTCAGCAGTGTATTTCATCGGTCTGCCTGTTCTGCTCCCCCTCTGGCTCTGGTGAATCCTCTCACCCTCCTGCACTTCTAACTGTACCAGTGCTTGTATAAATAAATAAATCTTTAAAAAAAAAATCAACAAGCAACTATAAACCAGAAAACCACTATTAAGAGACATTTTTCCTCCCTCCTTCCCTTCTTTTCTTGTTCCCTCTTCCTGTTAATGTGCACATTTCTACATAGTTGTAATTATAAGGCAACCTTCATTTTGTGCTAAATCTCATTTGGGGGAACATTATCTCATTGGTAAATCTTTTATGATCATAACTTTATTTTAAAAATTAAAATAGAAAAATCATAAGTCCCACCATCTAGAGACAGTCATTTCAATTTAGTATATCTTTCTTGATATTTTATGTTATCAATAATTTAACAAGTTTTTACTTTAACTTCTGTTTTGCAATTTTTATTACCTATATAGTATGAATATCTTTCCTAACTATATTCTATTGCATAGTATCCCATTGCATATTTATCTAAATAATTCATACTTTTGGACACTTAAGTTTCCAAATTTTCAAATATAAATAATACTACACTTACTCAATTAAATAGTTTTACATTGATTTGCAGAAAGTCTACATGAATTATTAAGATTTGGCTACATATTACCAAATTTCTCTCTAGAAAATATGTATAACTTGTACTACCAGCAATAAAGGTGCCAATTTATCCACATCACCAATGCTAGATAAGGCTGACCTTTGCTTTAAAAAATCTATTCATTAATGGGGGAAAATGTTATTTCTTTCAAATATTTTCTTATGGTCATGCTACATTTACATTTCTTTTGTGAACTGTAGGCTCAAAGCCTAATAGTTCTGTTAATGTGGACAAAGTTATTTAAGCATTCTCTATTAAAAGTGACAAAGCAAAATATATGTGTGAGGAGTTTAAACCAAAAAGCTATTATATTACTACATGTGCTGGAACAAGAGTGCCAGGATCTCACTGCCCTCTATTCCTTCTGGAGACTTCCAGGAATTCCTCTACATGTATATAATGCTGGAACACACATCTTTGAGTATAAAGGCGTTTGTGTTTCAGGTTTTTAGGATAAAATCCTAGAAGTGGTGTTACTAAATAGTGGTGTTATTTAAAAGTTCAAAAAGTAGGACAAAGTACACTAATTTTCTGCTATTAGTGGGTTGAGGTGTAATTTTGTATTTAATATGAAATATCAAATAAGGTAGGAAAAATTTATTGCTAAATTCTCTGTAAACTTGGGCCATTCATTCACCTCACAAATACACAGGATCCTGGAGGTCTGAGGCAGGACAACCTGTTCTTTTACTCATACATGTTAGTGGAGAAGATGGGGGAAATAGAAATGGAAATGTGAGATCAGAAATACTTATATTAATGCTTTATTACTTTGATATCATCTTCCAGCCCGATTTAGCACAGCTCCCCTGGAGAGTATTCAAGGAAAAAAAAATTATTACTATCCTTAGTTATAGATTCAACCTCTCCTTTTTTTTTTTTGTAGGGGTCATTTCATTAACACACAAGATCAGTGTGTGGCTTATGTCTCTGATGCTAAGGAACAGAAGTGTTTTAAGCCTATCAAATGACCCAAGAAGTTTTTTTGTAAATGCATACTGCTGAATACTATCCAGAGCATCAAGGGCATAACTAAAATACTGAATTTTAATATACTTGTCAAATGATTCTGATCAACAAGATTTATCTTCTGGTTTCTACTTTGCTTGTATTCCCCCATTATCCTAATAATGGTTCCTATGCATGTTATCTTTTCTCTCTACTTGCTTTTCAACTAAAATTATCAGTTTTCTGTTTTTCATAGCTAATTTATATTTTGGGTGTAGGATTCAGTGTGATTCTTCAATCTAAGATGTCATGGCTTTTCTTAGTTCTAGAAACTTCATTGTCATTTTCACATAAAGTCTTGCCCCTTGTCCATTTCTCCACCTGAAATTCTCAATAAACCTAAATTGAAACTTATAGTTTAATCCTTCCTCTCTGACTTCTCTTTTGGATTTATCTGCAGGATTTTAGGTAATTTCCTCAGATGTTTCTTTCATTCTCTAACTGTGCCAATCTACTTAAAGCTGGCCATGTGCCTCTTTTTATTCACAATGCTTCACTTAAAAATTTTTTTTTTTCATATCTCCCTGTTCTTTTTTAGTACTGTTCTTTCATGAGGGTATTTATCACTTTGTGTCTTTAATGATTACAAATATATTTAATTTACAGTTTTAAACTCATCCTCTCAGGTTCTTGGGGTGTTATTCCTCCCACAGGTATCCGCTAACTCTCCCATATTGTGGGACAATTTTCCGAGATTTGGTTTTTCTGGGAACTCCAGGAGTTTCATCAACCTGGATGTATTTATAGAACTTGTATTAGTATCTCCATTTAGGGTTCCTGTACTATAAAAAAGTCTAAAATTTGCATTCTACATCTATGCATTATAGACTTTTAAATTTCCATTTATTGTGGAAAACTTTTCCCCATCCAGCTATCTAATCAGTGAGAATTTTACCAGTTGACTTTCTCAGTAAATGAGCAAGGTTTTATAGACATCTTACATGAAGGTAACAACTCTTCATTCTAACTTCACCTGGGAATTTCAGTTCTAACCCTTCCTCTTCGACAAGGTCAGCATCAAGGCTTATAGTCTACATATTTGTTACAAACTCCATTCCCTAGCTGTTAGGTCCTGTGACCATGTCTCATCCACTGTTCCGTTGTGGCATGAGCTCAAGTTCTCACCATGTTGGCTATGAGGTTCTTTATTTTCGGAACATGGGAATTCTTCCCTTACTCTCTTCCTGCCCTGGCTAGGTATGTACAACAGCCAATATCCAGCATCTCTATGTGCAGTACTATATAGAAGGTGGTTCTGCACTAACTAGATGAAACTAGAAATGGGCATCAGTATGGTTTAGAGATCACCAACCAATACAATACAGAATACATGACCTTTGAGACTAGAACCAGGATTTAAGCTGTGCGTACACTACTTGCTATCAGAATGAGTTACACTAAGTAATTTAACTCCTCTAAGCTTTACTTTTTTCATTAATAAAATAGGGATATTATTAGCACTGATCTTATTGCTCTAAATTCAAACCATTTTCTCCATCTCCATTCCTACAAAAGTTGAAGATGCCAGAAAACTTCTTGGAAGCAGGTATCCTATCTTCTTCAATATTTTTCACTACAAAACAACAAGTGAATTAGTTGATTGTGTGATTATGTTCCTTTCCTTTCACATACTTTTCCTGTAACAGTGGTTTAAGAAAAAATGCTAGTTAAATGTGAAATTGGAAAACAATTATGAGTTCCATTTCTTAAGACATATGCAAGGATAGGGTGAGTGGTAGAGTTAAACCTCTGTGGAATTTCATTCCTCACAGTTCTCATCCCTTTCCCTACAGTACAAGTGACAGGTTTTGCTTGGATAAGTGAAAACCTAAAAGAACCAATAAATCTGCCAGAGTAGACTGCAGGCTGAGCCAAGGTGAACAGCCTCACATTAATTCTCCAAGAGTCTCTAGGTACCCCAGGCAGAAGCAGAGAGGTTGCTGGCTGCCTGTCACCCCACGCCCAGTGCAGAAACAGCAACTTGCAGAAATATGGGGGACATTCCCGAAATGTTGTTTGTCATGTGGTAAATATTCTTGTCAAACAGCAGAGCAATCATATTCTTTAAGGAGAAAAAACACATAGAAGTTCTCTGATTCTCCACCAAAAATTACCATCCATGACGAATAATAATTTTCATCCAAAGCTTAGTGTACATGTCCTTGTATTCAACTTCTAGAAATTTATGCCATAAAAGGGCACATACAAGAGTATTAAAGCTATCCTTAACAACTTACCTTTTTTTGTAAATTTATTTTAATGAAAATATGGATTAAAATTATCATGAATTAGGAACTGATCCATCACGCAAGAGAGTGTTCTATAGGTACTAAAAGTATGCAATAGATCTCTGTATACTCATACAGAAAGGTGGTTAAGATATGTTGTTTATAATAACTACGCATTAACTTTGGAACAAGACAGGCTGAGTTCAAAGCACTATGAAACTGGGTAAATAAGCGTCCCCTCTTTGCGCCTCAGTTTGCACATACATAAAATCAGGATCACAGTAATTCTGGAATCATGTGGTTATTGTGAGCATTAAAAGGAGCTAATATATCAAGTGTTTATCTGACTCAGTCAACTACTAAACTATTACATTATGCTCTGTAACTCATATAGTACCGTTATACTGATTGAGGTCATTAAGTTCACTGCTCTGGATGACACTGATAAGCAGTTATAGTTAGCTTACTGTTTATGTCTGGGGGTTG